CTTAGAACATTAAATTAAACTTTTTCATTAGTTATTGTATTATTGTGTTACAAATTATGTGTCCGAATACTTTTGTCTACCCACTGTATATAGTGTTGACGTGTTTTTCGGCGAGTCTCGCGTCACGTCAGGGTTGGGTAAGTATTTCTTCTCTTAAGGCGTGTATTTCTTGACTTGGCCGACGGTACTCTTCTTAATCTTTCTTTACCTTCTCTTTCCGTCACTCACGTTTTCCAGACAAGTTCCCCACTTGCTCTTTCCCGTGGTCTCGGTCGTCCTCTCTTCCTCGCGGCAAGTACTGGATTAGGTAAGGTTTTAAAATTAGGTTTCCCTTTTCGGGCGACGTCTATCATACAGCCTTAAAAAAGGAAGATCTTGATTTAAGAATGGTTTTTCTTTATTAGTTTATTTGTTATTCTTTTACCACCGTCTCTCCCTCTTTTTTTTTTTTTTCCTTTTTAGAACCCATTTATTACTGTTACAGACTATTTTTAGACTTTATATTACTGAGTTCTTTTTTTATTATTGAGCTGATTAGATGCGGTACACGAAAATCGCGTCACGCTGCCTAACCAGCCCCTAACAATAGATTAATGAGTAACTTTAAAACACATAAATTAGGTCTACTGTATAGACATATTAGAATATGAAGCTTATTTTATTTTTAAAATTGGATTTCTTGATACCTAATACAATTATTGTTTTTAGAGTATATGTTAAGAAAACTTAAAACATCCAAAAACGTTATTTGATTAGCACTAAGGAATTAAATGTACGTAAAAGACGAATTTGCTGTGACAAGATAAATTAAAAGATTTTCGGTCATGATTAAAATCCTTTACATTTGATTTTTACAATTAGTTGTCAAGTATATATAAGAGACAAAAGATCATTCAAGTCACGGTCCTCCTTGTTATTGTAAACAAAAAATGACACAAAGAAACGTTCCTCGTTTACACGTAAGTGTCTCTGTAACTCTCCACACCGCAAATGAGGATGAATACAAAATATATACCCTTATAGCAACCCTCGAAAGTTTCCCGCCACACCAAGAAACCAGCTCTTACATGATTTTTCGTTCCAACGACAAAGATCATGGTATCATATGTGGTTACATTAATAAAAAAAGGTTTGGAATTTATGGATCGCGTGAAAAATATAATCTCCGTTGAAAGTACGGGTCATATCGGCGAAAAAATATGAATGGAGAAAACTTGGATCCGTCGGTCTTCGAAGACACAGGTTACATCACTGAAAGAAGCTCTATCCCCTTGAAGTCTATTCATCGTGATTATGTGTTTGCCGTGTCGATGATAATAGCGAACTGACACTTATCTTTTATATCGGAGAAGAAGTCTTAAACTTGTTAAAGGAACATGAACTCTTCCGTAAATACATATGTCGTGATTGCAAAAAATTGTATAAATACCCATGCCATTTAAGTAAGAGACCACATGCAGGTTCATTCCAATGAAAGACGTGAGTTTTTTTTTTTTTGTTACTCACTGTTAAGAAGCATCAATAATGGGAGTTTTTTTTATTCCCTCTAGTGGAATGCCGAGTTGAAGGCTGTAAAAAGTCGTATACATTAGAAGGCGCCACGAAAAGAGTCATGTCCCTAATCAAAACCATCCTATCAAATATATATGAACAAATTTTGCTTCTTTTTTTTCTTCAAAATTCGAAACATTTTTTTTTTTGAACTTGGTTATTATTACTATATACTATATATTGGTTTTTCAAAAAACGGTTAAATAAAGTTTCTTACCTTCATCGTGGTGTTGGTGTTAGAAAGAATGAATATTGTTCATCGAAAGTTATTTATCAGCAACATATAAAATTTATTGGGAATTGTAATTACGACCTACTATCAAAATAATATTTTTTTTCAAGAAATGTTTACTTGCTATACCTCCTTTTTAACACTATTTATTACGTTTGTGCTATCGTTCCCTGACCCAATCACTTTGTTAAACACATATGACAGAGGAACATTGCAATAATCCAAATTTTATTGTTAATTTTAATAGAGTAAGTAACGTTGTGCAGCCATTAGTGATGGTGTACAGGATAATTTTACACATACCCTCACTAAAGATCTGACCGACGATTAAATTTATTTTTTACAGTAGAAAAACGAAATTTTGCAACATTTCATTAGCGATCAAAAAACTACAAGACTGTCTTTATCAGGAGAAAAGAATTAGTCAAATCGACTTCTGTATAACATTAGCTGGTATTTTATTTAGCATAACTTCAATACACGGAAATCAAAACACAATTAAATAATATTTAATATAAAACACTTATTAAATATAATTTCTTATTTAAAACCAGATTTTTAAATAATTATATTTAAAATTAAGAAATTATATTTAATAAATTCTATCTTTTTTTCACACTATTTTTTCTTTTGTTTCTCATCTCTAAATACTATCGAATTGAACATTATGTTTATACATGCGCCGAATGTTTCCATGGTTACATGTTTCGTCTTCCCTCCCTTCATGGCAACGTGATGGCGTAACGTGATACCACGTTCCATCCTAACATACAATATGTTGTTAACTATTTTCGAAAGAGTGTAAGTATTTTTTAAAAATAGGAATAGAAAATTTATATTCAGCATTTTATTGTCTTCAAAGATAATTGCCCATGAATTCGCGATACGGAACTTCAAATATCAAGACAAGAACGAACCAAGTTATATAAAATTGGGAAAAACTCCAAGGTACAGTATATTATTAAACAATAAGCGTATTGTTTTAAATCACATCTTTTTTCTTTTCTTTTTTACTTCATTATTTTTTATTAAAAAAAAATATGTTTAAAGCGACTATTTTATGCTATTAATTATTGCATAAAGTTTATGGGTTGCCACATTTCTCACATTAAACTTTCAACGAATCGAAATTTTTTAAATATTAATATTGATGCATGATTCAATTTAGTTTTAGGGATTCGTTTCTGATTTTCACTTCAATACATATACGGTACATGTACAGTCACCCCATAAAGTAACGCCCGATTTTCTGTGTGTAACAAATTTAAATTAACACACATAAAAACCTACCCCCCTTGTTTACTTCATAACCCAATGCCATTAAACTCAAAAACCACGCGTACCCATACTCTTTTGTCTGACGTCGATAAGGGCAAAATTCTTGTCCTTATGGAGACTTTAAATGCTATGAAGGTTGCGCGAGAATTGGGGAGAGATCCTATCACAGTATGCCATTTTATAGCCAAATACTTAAAAACAGGAAAAGTTGATAACTTATCATGGTCTGGAAGACCCCCGGTCCTTAATAACCATGAAAAAAAATTACTTGTGGATGAGGTCTTAAAAAAAAGACAAACCCCATTACGCGAAATTATTGGCAATTTAAACCTTAACTGCAGCTTGTCAACTGCTGCAAATGCATCTGGACTTCACTCATATATCGCTGCAAAGAAACCATTTATTTCAGAAAGGCACGCATGTGCCTGTGTTATGTGGTGTACAGAAAATAGAAAAAAAAGTATTTTTGAATGGTCAAACATTATTTTCTCTGACGAGGAAAGTGTTGAGATTGGGAAGCAGTCACGACAGATATGAATTTGAAGACATACGGGAGAAAGGTTCAATACTGACTGTTTGGCACCTACTTTCAAAAGTGATCGAAAATTCGTGATGATCTGGGGGTGTTTCACAGAAGAAATAAAAGGTTCTTTAATATTTTGTAATGAGAAAAAAGAAAAACAGGAAAGAATAAATGCAAAAACCTATATTAACATACTAGATACTAGTCTTTTAAAATTTCAGCATGCAAGACCTGTGAGTCTATAGCACAGTGGTTAGTGCTCCACAGGTCAGATCACAAGATACCAGTTCAACCACAGGTGAAGGCGGTTGAATAGAATTAATATGGTATCTGGCACCATAATCAATCATATGCTGTTTCTCATAAGAAGCCATTCACATGCCGATCCGGTAAGGCATTGAGATTGTGATTTCCCGTTAAGGTGTTGCAGTGTAACGATCGTCCGGTTGGTGCATGATGATCGTCGAGAAGTTCTCCCTTCATATGTAGGTTATGCAGGCCCCCTATGTATGTCGTACCCAATAGGCCGAATTTGACCCCAGGATTTTCTAGTTTGGAGTTATCCCAATCTGGCACTTGCTTAAAAGAAGTTGGTCCTGTGAAAAGGATCTACCGAAGCCGCAGGTGGTAACAAGGAGCAAGTATCCCCTCTGAGGGTTCAAACGAAAAGTATCGTGATGTCCAAAAATCTGAAGACCAACCACTGCGGGATAAACACTAGTTCTCAGAAAACGGGTTATAGGTTAGGTGGTTTAAACTAGTGGTAGGCATTCCCCCCCTATAGAAACCCCACCCAATGTGTTGGATCCACCTTTGGTGTATAATTCTCATAGTTGGGTTTAAAAGATGGATGGTAAGCTAATATATAAAAGTATTAGGCAGTGTTGATTTACAATTGTAGATTATATAATCGGTACAACGTACAATTTTTAATTGTAAAAGGACACTTGATGTAATTCGAGTTATGCAAGTTTCAATAAAGATTTGCATCGTTGCACGTTCATCTATAAAAAAAAAAAAAAAAATTTCAGCATGCAGTTCATGAGTTAAGACGAAGTCCTGTGATTTTTCAACAGGACAATGCACCGATTCACACTGTGAAAATAGTTCAAGGATGGTTCAAATAAAATAAAATTGCAATCCTTGATTAGCCAGCAAACTCACCAGATTTAAACCCAATTGAGAATGTCTAGAAACTATTGAAGGATAATGTTCAAAAACGTGAAGCTTTTCCAAAGAATATGGTCAAGCTTAAGACTGTACTTACGGAAGAGTGGGCAAAATTAGATGTCTCGATTTTTCACGAAGTTATAAACTCAATGTCACATAGGATCGATGCAGTACTACAGGCAAATGAAGGACCAATTAAATATTAGCTAGTGATAAAAAAAAAATCATGTAATCATATAAATATAAAATAAATTGTGACTTAACATTTTTTTTTCAATTGTAAAATCGGGCATTACTTTTTGGGGTAACTGTATATACATAAACATTAATTTTTAACAATAATTAAAAAATTCCTTTCTTTGCTTCTTTATCAATGTTATTAGTTGTAATGATATGTATGTGTTTTCGATGGCAGATATAAACAATTTTTCTAAAAAAATTTTTCATCTGTCAAAATAACTGACACTGTATACAGTATGCTGAGGATGGAACGACCTGCATTTTTGTCACACTAATTGGTCTGTTATTAAAATATAAACTTACACCAATTGTTATATACATTCATTTGTAATTTTAGATTTCTCTTATATTGAAATTTTTTGCGCGGATAGAAAACTCATGTTTAGTGATGACAAATATCTATTAAATTTCAAAAGTATTAAAATTTATTATTCAGACAATTTTATTTCTTTAGTCGAATGACCTTTATAATGATGATTTTCTTCAATAAGAAAAATATATATATATATATTGTCTTTTTTGTTTGCTCAGGGTAAAACAGAAATATGTATTTAGGGACTTTCTGCTCAAAGTATAAAAACACATCCGATGAAGTTTTTAGAGGATATATAGTATATAATAGACATTGAGAAACATTTTAAACAGCTGAAGATCTGTATTTGTGTAAATGAATCTTGGATTGTTGTACGTCTGAAATCAATGATTGAACTGGTTATGTCAAACTGAAATAAAAAACAAGGGGAGTGTTCTCCTTACCTCATGTATGTAACACCCCTACAGCATTCGTGCATTACCCATGCGTCAACTGTGCAGCACTCGTGTAGATGAATTTGTAATGAATGTTTTGAGTGATCGGGTTTTATTTCGATGTATACTGTATTTCGAAAATCGAAAATCGAAAGTTATGGTCAGCATGTTTGCATTTATATAGGATTTATTATAATCTGGAAGATTTACACAAAGTCACCTGCATGGTGTGCTGCGTACATGAGGTAAGGAGAACATCCCTCATGTCTTTTATTTCAGGTAAAAATCCTGCTGTTGTGTCACGAACATACGAACGAAACTGGTTGATTTGACACTTTAATGTCGTCTTATTGTCCCACAAACATTATTTACATGAATTATGAATGCTCAAGATTTGTGTTACATATGCCAGTCTAGACGAACTATTTAGATTTAAGGTAAATGGTTTATACTCAATCCGGTTTTTTATAACTATTTACTATATATACTCATTGGCTACATTTTTTTTAGTTAAATAATAAATATTTTGATTACTATATTAAGAAATGTTAAAAGGGAAGAGGGCCAAAAAACCATATCATTTATGGTATTAGCATAGAAATTATAGTAGGGGTTATGACACGACATGTGGGGCCCGGCGCAGTGCCGCATGGGGCATCGGTCATGCATCAATCATGCATGATTGATGGGCGCAAAGCTTGTAAAAGTCTAATAATTCTGCATAACGCGATGATAGATTTAGGGATGCGTTGCAATCATGTATAAATAGCAATAATATTCAATTATAATGTAGAGAGCCGCAAGAGACGCGATCAAATAATGAATTAGTAAAATACCATCTGCTGTAAATCCAATTGTGTGCTAGTGCAACAATAATTAAGAAACTTACCTTATTTGTCTCTAAGTCATCCTAGAAAGAATCCACAGGCCCTGCAGTTTGGCAGCGAAGGATTAGAAGAGGAACCAACCTAGAGAAGAGGAAGATAAGGATAATTATCACCATACGTACCTTTGGTATTGCCAGCGATATAGACCCATTCTCCTAACATTGTACGAGTCTTGGTCTGGATTAGCAACAGACTCGCTGTTGAGCCCAACAATGGAAATATTTATCATGCCATTAGGATCTCAATATAAGGCGTATTTTGAATAAACAAATGTCAATTTTACAATAATAAAATCCTCAACATCCAGTCTCGTTATTTGCAACGACTGTGAGAAAGTTTCATTGGTATGAAAATGTTTTGAACTGTACAATATATGGTCATTATTTTTTTTTTATGATGTGTAATTTGAGGCGTCGCATAAACAGATATCGCGTGGCATAATGTAAATAAATTCTCGGAAACATTAGTCTTAATGATCAATAGCCGAATCATTTAATAACATTTCCTTTAAGTTGAATAAAGCGTATAACCCATAAAAATATCCTTTTTAGCTACTATATTATTTCTTTTTTTGGTATATTTTTTACGAATGTTGCTGGACGGCAAAGAATTTATAAGCCATAGTAAATATAATAGACCCTAAATACCTTACATAAAACTGTTGCCGGGTTAATCTTCAAAGTTAATTTATGGATTTAGGAGTTAACAGTTACAGGAGATTTGTCTAGTGAGATGCAATGAAAAAAAAATCGGTAAAAAAAATATCCGCCACGCATACATGATGTGCAAATACTGTAAATAAATAAATAAATAAATAGGAGGTATTTAATATGCTTATTTTGTATACTCGTCAATAAAGCATAAAGCCGGCATTATGGGTCGGTCATGGCCAGAAGAATGGAGGATCAAAGTCGTACGTACAGTACTGTAATATGCACATAATCATGTATACATAGTTATATGTGCATAATTGCACAGTATAAACTTATTCGCATGAAATGCATCCCCCTGCGTCATCCTTGCGCCACTCGTAAAGTGACCCTACAATATAGCGCATGCGTGGCACTGTACATGTTTGAATTTAGCAGCACGTTCTACTGCATAAATAAGTCACGAGGCTACCAATCCTTGATTTTCTTTAAATATACTGTGCAGTACGACGTGTATGTACGGTTGTCATATCGTCGCTATTTGAAATCAAGCATACAGATGGATAACAGTGAAAGATTATTTCAATGGGCTATTACCGAATACGAATTGATCAATATTCCTATAGGAAAATTAAAAAATAAGAAGAGGATAGGAAGAGGAGCATTCGGTTACGTGTATAAATGCAATATTGACGGAGATTCTAGAATGGTGGCAATAAAAGAAATAGCCGTTTCCGACGAAGATAGCGATAAATCTATTAAATCCTTCCTTAATGAGGTTTTTATTTTATAAATAATTACTCGTTTCTGCAAGATTTATTCATAAATGTTTTGTTTTATTTTTAGTTAAAATTACATACAGTGCCGGTCATAAGTAACCGTACACCTTTTAAAAATTCAAATCTAATCCAATTGTTTTAAAAATGTTAGGAC